TGTGTGTGTGTGTGTGTGTGTGTGTGTGTGCGTGTGTACACGCAGCTCCATAGACTTTACCTATCTACTCACACATGAGTAATGATAGCGAGTTAGATCGTAGTTGCACGCTCCACATAACTATGTTATACCCTGTTATATAAAGGAATAAATATATCTAAATACATTTACCATGCTTACCTCAGATATTATTTAGATTAAATCTTGCATTATAACCATTGAACAGATAAGCTGACTGTCACCTACCTCCTTCGTCGCCTTACCTGTTCAGAGTATATTTCTCCTTGTAACAATGGCTCCAGTCTAGATAAGGAAGATGATCAACTTCCACACGCGTCGCACCCATCGCCGGCGCAGCTACGTGTCATGGGAAGTGGGTGACGTCAGCGATAACAGAAAGTAAACGCGTTTGCGACGACGCGGCGAAGGTAAAAGTGGGGGGGGGGGCGGGGCGCTACCTGATATTTCTCAACCTTGCTCTTAAAATTACACAAATCAACCTTGTTTGGCTCTAGTTTTAATATTTTAAAAAGGTTTTATATAGATATCACTTAGAAAAAAAAAAAAAAAATACTATTTCCTGTGAACCTTTCAATGCAATCTTCAATATCTAAACTGACAACGTCGTCACCTGCCGCCCTCGTCCACTTATCTGTTCAGAGTATGTTTTTTGTCTGTAATATTGGCAGCAGGCTTGACAAGGGAAATTGCAATTTGTATCGAAAGGGGATAAAAATAACTTGTGTATCAGATAAAACGGTCCTTGCAAAATAACACTCAAAAGGGAAAAACAGGAAATACAAAGAGATATGTAATGATATAAGCGGTTTATCTGTTTAATGACTGGAAAATATTATTTCAGGCATCTTTTCCCTAATATCAAAGGGATGTATATAGAACCTTTATAAAGCAAGGGTTATTTGAGTCATTTCAAAACACATGTTTTTACATAAGGAAGGTTGAAGAATATTAGGTTGCGAAGTAACTCGGATGCTTTCAACCTCCGTCGAGCCGCCGCCGCGGTCGTCGCATGAACGTTTACTTTCCTCAGTAACCGCCGCCACCGCCGTTGCCGCATGCGGAATTACTGCCCCGTGTGCACAGCCGCATCAGCGATGGGCGCAACACGTGCGGAAGTAGATGAAATACAATCTCCTTTATTATAGCGAGAAATATGCGAAGGAGCTGGGTGATAGCATAATTAGTTTTTTTTCTGTTGAATGATTACAATCAGATTTAATTAAAACAATTAATGAGACAAAGCATGAAAATACATTGAGGTATTAATTATTTTTTATTTCTTCTTTATATAACAGGGTTATATAGTATCCATCAATAATATTGAAACTAGGTAAGCAAAGTATATTTGTGTCATTTAAGAGTTATTGCATATGGAAATATGAGAAGATATGAACATTATAAACTTTTATCTGTTATCGCATGTTTAATAGAGAGACCAGACAGTGAGCTAGCGGAACGAACAGGTAGGTAGAAGGATGTGCTACGAGAGCCAGTGACAGAGGCGAGTCATCCTATTCTACGTATCTAGAGCATGGGGATTTATCATATTCAGATGACTTGAAGGGATGCGATTTCCACATTAGATATTCATTAACTATGGAATTCTTCACGAACGGAGGCGAGACAAATACTTCCTTTATTAACTGTCTCCTTATTTCGCCCGTATAGCGTAGCAGCTCATGATGAGTCCAAGTCTGTGGTCTTCCGTCATCTGTACATTGCCCCAAAACATCATCATCACTGATTCGGAGGATATCTTTAGATAAATAAGACTAGAGGTATTGATGAGCAACTTGCATTTTAGTTTTATAAACAGTTCTGTTACAGGAAAGACAAATGTATCATATTCATCAAAAGTGAACTTTCTACAGTATACATGCGTTCTGTTAAAAACGATAGGAACACGATAACGTTTTAACAGTTTTACCATAGATTTTCCTGGGCTGCAAAAATATGCGCTATTCATATATACACTTCAGTCACCCCCTATTTGATTCAGAGGACATTTTTCTTTATCTTAGTTAAATAAAAGGACGTTTTGCTCCCTCTTTATGACGTAATACGAATGTTTTTTAGTCAAAAAATGTTTCTGTCTCGACTGTATCTTGCTCGCCATGTGAAATACAGGAATGCCTAACCACCTTTATAGTTTGTATTTTGAAAAAAAAAAAAAAAATGTGTGTATATATGTATATATATATATATATATATATATATATATGTGTGTGTGTGTGTGTGTGTGTGTGTGTGTGTGTGTGTGTGTGTGTGTGTGTGTGTATTGGTTAAGAAAATTGTATATAAAGTTACTGGTAACTTTAAGAAAAGATAAAAAAGGCATCCTGCATTATTAGTTTGGAAATTCGAATGCTGCCTGGTAAGACCCATCGCATCGAGGGTTCCATGTACATTTTACTCACTTGGGGTAAACTTACTCTTGGTTCGAAACTATAAAAGCTCTATGACAAGAACAAACGAGTTG